AACAGCTGAACATGAGAGGTTTTTGGACAAAGTTTGTGTTCTCCATTCTTTAAGCACCAGCACCGTTTCAAAAGTACCGGTTTGGCACCGGTATCGGATAAAACCTAAACGATACCCATCCCTAGTCTATAATACTTAATGCTTAATAAAGGGGAACAGTTCATTATTTTCTGCAATATAGAGCAACACCATGTCTGGAAGGAGAGAATCTGTTCAAACCTGACTTACCTGTACCAGGACAATCACTGATGTTTTCTGAAATCGTTTGCTATGATGACATCTCTGCAGTGTGTTTTTTCATAGCTCAGTATTGCATCACAGATTTCGTCACTTTGAATAAATGCTGGGGTGGGCCAGCTATATTAATGAATTTTTTACCCAACCATTTGGCCTAGGTCAGCTATAAAGGGCACAAAGTGAGGTACAGCATCTGGTGAGGTGGAAAGGTGGCACAGGGCTAACACACAGAGACGGACCATTACTCGTACTCGCATTCACAGTTAATCTAACATCGTCTTTGGACTGTGAGAAGTAGCTCAGGTAACCAGAGAAAGTCCACGCAGGAAGGCCCAAGCAGCGACACAAGGTCGCAGCCGCAGCATTTTACTGCATTGTATTTTGTACCAAATCATCATCAGTGGCTGACAAGTGGTGCTCGCTTTCAGACATATCTGGGTTTGTGTTTTTGTTGCGTACACTAGTTCACAGCCCTCGTATTTAATTAAGCATGGATGCGCCTTCTTTTTTCATGTACACATCTTTGCCTGCTGGCGATGCACCACTACAATACTTCAAACTGTTGAAATAAGTTTAAACTTTTTCACAAAGACCCTTGGGACTGTCAACCAGCTTTTAAGTTATCACCTTCATTCTCCAAGGAGTTCATTCCAAATCATCTCAACCAGGCTTAGACTGAATGATTTCTGCTTTCTCGCTCTCACAAACACACACACTCACACAAACAAACATACACTATAAGCCACTGTCAAGATTTCGCTGGCACAAAGTCCATTGCTTACATTTCTTTCCCTAAGAAGTTATCCAATTTTCATTGGCCTCCCTCAGTACTGGTTTCTTTGCAGCAGTTTAGTCATGAAGTCTTTATCCACACAATTTCTTGTAACAGTTGATGTTGAGAAAGGTCTACTACTTAAACCCTTAAGGATTGATTCAGACTCTAATGTGAGGTGAAGCTAGCTGGTAATTTAGGTGGCCAACACTAATGGACTCTTTCTCTGCAGCAGAGGGAACTCTCGGTCTTCTGTTTTTTCAGGCAGTCCTCATTCTAGCATTTGAAGGTTTTGAAGATTGTATTTGAAACTTTTAATGTTTTAACTATACATTGGTAAAACACAACTGATGCTGACAAATACATCAGTACAGTTAGAAATTCCAGGGACCGTTCACCATCACTGACATGCAACAATTTTATGATGATGGTGGGTAAAATAATCCCATTCTAGGAGATTAGGGGGTTAAAATGTTGCTAGTTTTTGTTTGCTCACTAATTTGTGTTTTTCTTTTCTTTCCTGTGTTCTTTTTTTTTTCTGGAACGTAGATAATAGTTAGAATATTTTAATATAGAATACAAAGAAAGGGACAAATACTCATCTTATGCTTTATGAGTAGGGATGGGAAACAAGAACCAGTACTTCCATTACTTGGAATTTTTAGTCTGCTTAGCGATTCAGCTTATTGGTTCCACTTGCACCAGCACAGAAACAGCTGCATTATGTTGCTTACACAACTTTGGCTCTTTGCAAGCAGCTGCACAGACAGCATGCTAATGCTAAACTAGCCAAGAACCCAGAGTGATGGTAAAGCTGAGTGAACTTTGAACCCAGGCCAGCAGCCAGACTCTGAACAGTTAACAAACTGATGAGGAGTCAGTCTACATCCTCCTGTTGTACCTGTTAATGTTTCTACAGTTGAATCACCGCAGGGATCGCTTTAAAGTCTCTGTGCCGGATTCCATCTTTGCTTTGTGCTGTCACTTTGTGTTCATACCTTTCGTATGAACACCTTTTCGAGAAAGATCGTACGTGTGTCCTCATTAGATCAGAAATTTGTCTTTGTGTCTGTAGCCTGAGGATTATATTAACTTTTATAAATCTCTATTTGTGAGTGTGAAATGAAATGGGATATGCTATCACTACGTGGGTGAGCATGTATGAGACGTGGTTTTCTAAACAGCTTCTCATTTTGAAATCAATGTTTCTTTTCCGTACTGAAACCTTGTTATTCTGTGTTCCAATTTTGACTTTAACTCTGTTTTATTGGCATTGAATTAAAACAGACATTAATTATAAATCAACAAAACTACAGTGTATGTGTATAAACAGTCAGCAGCCTAAATAAATATTCTCTGCATCTCTGAGATGGAAAAAGGGGATTTTTCTTTGATACTCTTTGATTCTGATTTGTTAAGCATTAATGGATGGTTCTTATATTTAATACAGATGTTCAAGCTCAGTTAGGGAGGATTTATGTTCCAAATAACTGAGGGAAAAATCCTGTTTGAAGGCTTTCAGCTGACACTAACAAATGACAGTGAAACAGCAGTCTTTTATTGTACAGTACAGGATGTGAGGAAGAAGATAAGATGAATAAGACTGGAGGCAGCAGGAGCTCAGGCAGCATATGAGATGATTTATAGTCTCCACATATCTTTTAGATTTAGAGGACAGGGCATTCACTTATGTAGTCATTTTCTAAAAGAAGTCAGTGTGACCCCTCAGTTCAGTATGTTGGTTTATTCATACAGTATAAAATACAACTACATGCAAAAGTTACAGTTGTCTATAACCTTCAGATGCATCCGTGTCTTGATTTTTATTATGTGATGTCTACAGTGCATCTCTAAAGTAACCTAAGAGCAAATAAATATGTCTTGGCTGTTGTGGAGAAGCTTCAGGTGGGTCTTTCAAATTCTTTAACCTATGTGCTACATGCAGTCTTCATCTCAAGTTCTCCAAACTATTAAAAAAGAGAGGAGAAAGAAAACAATCTGTGTGTATATCATTACA